AGAAACCCTAAGCATCCATGACCTCCAAAGAGTCGATAATTTGCAGAGATTCCTTCATTGTGTTCAGAAAACATAAGAATAGGTTAGAAACCCTATTTCAAGAATTTGAAATTCAAGAAACGCAAAGGTCTCCCACGGCGATGTTTTGTAAAATATTTTCAAATTTCCGTTGAAGTTCCTAGGATAGCCATTTTTTGAGAAACAAATAATTTGAACAAGTATTAATCTGCAATTTACCCATTATGCTCCCTTTTATTTTTCATGTAAATAAGGCAATGGTAATCTTAGCCATAAAAATTTCTTTATTAAAATGGGCATTTTATCTCATCCTAGTTAATTTATCCACTTAGGATACTCACGAAAATAAACTTTCACCGGTCCCCACATAAATCTGAAAAATGAACATGAATTTCTTGATCAATGAGGATCAAAATCCCACTGACCAACTTTTCTCTCTCTCAAATTCTATAAAAAGAACGCCCCCTTAGAATTATCTTCAATCATTTGGTTGCTCGTGTTGCAAGGAATGGGATTGCCTATGCATGACCATTTGGGAGAATAGGACGTTTTAATTATTTACCAGAAAAAATGAAGAAAAAGAAACAGTAAATTGGGAAATTGGATTTCTAAATCTTCCACAATAAAATTGGGAATTTGGATTTCTAAATCTTCCACAATCAAAACCAGCAACCTCACAGTCCGAAACTTTAATGGAAAATAAAATATCTAATAATTATGATTCTTCTCCATGTGATCCAGAAAGGTAATATGATTTAAAACGTTATAGTCTTGTTGCGGATTTTCCTTCTTTTCTTTGTAGTCAATTTCTTTTTTGGGATGTCCTGAGCTTCCTTTACATATGAGGTTACATGCTCTATTCTTGGAAAAGTAAACGAACAAATTGGATGATTTTTTTGGGACAAATTTCTTAAATTATTTTTAAGTTTTAGGGAATTGACTAACTCAACCCCTATTGTATCTTTAATTGTCTTAAAGTATCTTTAAATTTTTGGCAATCGACTAAATTTCCCTTTTCATTAATAGACATTAACTAAAAAACGGAAAAGACTATTTTATCTGTCATTTTTCTTTAAATTTTCAAAATGGAACATTTGAATAACACCTTACTATCTTCTCCATCTTCTCGAGAGAAAACTTTGAAAAGAAAAACAATTTCTCCACTCCCAACCAATGTTCAAAATATCGATATACCCGATACGTTAGTAGAATCGTATTGGGCTGTATCGGTAGTTTTTTTTTTAAGATTTTACTTATTTTTTTCGAAACCGATTCAAAGGGATCGGTTTAGGCCCGGCTACCCTCTGAACCAGTGACTGACTCGCTACAACCCCTGGAGGGATATATTGGAAAGCCATTGACACGATACATATCGGCTGATATAGGCCGATACGTATCAATACTTTAAACCTTGCTCCCAACAACTCATTTGCTCTTCTATTGGCCACAAATGCTACACTTAATACATAAGATGTTTTTACTTTTTATGTTTTACAGGTTCAAGGGAAGTTTCAAKTGCAATAAACCACCGATGTGCATCGAGGATACCTAGATTCCCTTCGTTGCAATTCATACTTTTTTTTTTCGGAAAAAAAAATAAAGCCTCTTCAGCCATTGACAAAAGTCACAAAATACAATCATTTCTGCAACCCCCCGCTGAGTTAGTATACCATAAAACTATGTTGAATCACGAATCGATCTAAAGAGGCACTTCAAACAATTGGGGCATCACTAGCTTTGTAATGCCTCCAATAGTCAAACAAAAACATCAGGTCGGAATCAACAATAGCACAAACAGCCCTTGCAGTGGGCAGTGCCTTCACGATCCACCAATCTACCAAGAAAAATTGAGGAAAAGAAAATAAAATTCACTATAAGAAAAACAGTCTAAAGCGGCGGTTTAGAGCCGGCGTTCTTTAAAACTGTCACTTGAGAGAGAACTAAGGTGGCATTCTCAAAAAGACGGCCGCTTGTAAAACTAAACTAAACAAAAATAAAAACTGGGCGGTGGTCTTTGGCACCTGACCCGACACTTTAATGATTGAACCGGATTTGAGCCGGTCTAAAACCCATTATTCTACCTGATCAAATGCCAACCCAAAATGCCAAAACCTAAATGCACTTTCAGTCCCTCGCATCTTCAAATCCTCTGATCCTATCTTTCATTCATTTTCATCTTCTGAAATCTGTGTTCTCTGTCATACCTCTCACACCTCTCTCTGAAGCCCAAAACCACATTTCTTTTGTATAAGTTGCTCTCTTCCCCTTGAAATTTAGGAGGAAGACAAAAGGGTTAGCACTTTGATAGATCACCGTGTCAACTATGAATCCACCGTCTCATCTTACAGCTCATTAGGAGCAATAAGCCCTAGGATAGGATAGTTAGCATTCTCTCTCTCTCTCTCTCTTAATTGCTGCTTATTCAGCTTCAGCATGGAGATCTTTGTTATACTGAGCTGAGAACTCTTTTGACTGCACAAGAAAGTCACGGATGTGATTCTTAAATGTGGAGAGATTGTTCCATATTCAAACAACCCATCTACAAAACAAGTGACCTCTGCTGTGGTCATGTTAGGAAATGCTTCTCCCAAAAGCATTCACGAACAAATATCATGTTGTTGAGATATGGATAAGGAACAGTTGAAGCATCCCACAAAGGTTCTGTCAATGCACATGGCAAATGCTCAAAGTAAGTTGGGCAGAATTGTTTGCAAAACTTAAAAGCCTGAAAATTCTTGAATGTTTTCTGATGTTTCCCTCCAGTCCCAACTCCCAATTGCTGTTGCGCTATTTCCGCTGAGGCACCACTGAGAAATTGTCGGAGTCTGTCTCTTGTTGCGGGTGCTTGAATGGAGGAAGGATAGGGTTTTTGAGGTTTTCATCTATTGAATTTTATTTTGAAATTTTGAGGAAGGGATCATCGTCTACTTCCATGCCAATAATCAGCGATGACAAGGGATGGTGCCTTTTAGAGATAGAAGACATTGCACTTCAATAATTAGAGAAAAATATTGAGTTTTATGTTAACGGATTCTAATAGAATGCTAACGGCAGGAGAGGATCTAATCAATTAGAAAACTTATAGATTACTTTAAGACAATATGTAATCAGTACGGATAGAGATAGTTAATTTCCTAAAGCTTAAGAATAATTTATGAAATTTTCCCTTTTTTTAATTCTTCAAAACACATCATCTACTTGTCACACAAAGTTATATGAGGTCCATAGCAGGGAGGAACCGGAGGTGAAGGGGGACGAAGAAAAAGGAGGGAGGGAGAGAGAGAGAGAGAGTTGAGCTCAAGAGATAGTTTCAGCTTTCAGGTTACAGCGACAATGATTGTCAATGAGAGGGATGAAATGGAGGGGCGGGTTGTAGAAAAGATAGTGGGAAGAAAGTAGAATGAGAGTGGGTGGGAGAGGGAGAAGCAAAAGCGGTAGAGAGGGGTAAGAGCGGGTTAATAAAATTTAATTTTTTTTGGAGTCCAAACTTCCTTTCCGTCAGTTTCAATTCATTTGGGAGTGGGTGACGTGTTCAGTCCTCATTGGATAGGACAAAATTTTTTGTCCCTAAGGGACAGACGATGTGAGCTCCAAAAAATTGACCTTCTTTGGTATTGAAGGCTTTTTGTTTTATTTAATAGGTGGAGTTGGCATATCAAATATGATTGAGAACCTCTGCAAGTATGAAGCTTAGTCCGATTTTTTTCTTCACCTCTCTTTCTTGTTCTAAGTTATGCTCATCAAGCACAAGTTCAGCCTCATGTTTTTGTATCAATTTTTCAATTGCTAGGATGAAAACAACTATTGCCTTTTTTCCTTTTCTTTTTCCAATTAATGTATATTGTTTTGATGATTCCATAGTGAATATATTTAAGCTCAAAGAACCTTGTTTTTTATTTAATTTAATCTTGCATTACTGGTTGGAATAAAATGTTTCTGGGTTCTAAGTCTTCTGGCACATCATTAACAGTAAAATTTTCATTGACTTCAGCTTTAGACATAAAATATAGGGAAAATTCTTGATCAGCACCCTAACTCGAGTGACAATTTGGTCTCTCAAATTTTAAAATGCAACAATTCAGTATCCAGACTTTCAAAATGTGACAATCTAGTACCTTTCGTTAACCAGTCCAGTAATCAGCCATTAAGTGGCATTTGAAAAGTCAAAAATGCCCTAAGAATGTCCTATAATTCTCTTTATCAATCATCCAAACATTGAAAATAAAATAATCCCAAATTCTAGATTCTTCTAAACAGTCACCAATTTTTTTGAATAGAAGAGGTTAGGATTTGGGACTGTTCAGTTTTTTGTCAATGTTCAGTACTGGATTATTGCATTTTAAAGTTCAGGGACCAAATTGTCACTCAAGCCAAAGTATAGGATACTGATCGGGAATTTTCCCTAAAATATATAGTTGAATGGAGAGATCAGCCTACATGATAGATTGATTGATCACATTTGATATCATTAGTTATCTTCTCTTATAAAAGAAGCAACTAAACACAATTTCAATCTCAGAGATGTACATGCACTTAAACTATACAAAATCAACTTCTGTTTCAGCAATAAATATGACTTAAGAAGTGGATCATGACTTTAACATACCTATATGATAGTTCAAAGGGGGTGTCAATTGGACCAGATTTGCTCAAATCCTATCCATATTCATTGGACCTTTTGGACCGGTCCAAAGGATCAAAGGGTAATTGAGCTAAGCATGAATTTGAGAGGCAAAGACGGCTATGGTCTTGCTGGTTGAACTTGAAGTGAGAATGACTGTGAAGGAGTTTGTGATGGAAGCACTTTTATCTTTCCTCTTCTAARAATCATACAAGAACAATTTGGTTATTTTTATCATTTTACCAAGCCTATTAATTTTACACAATTGTTTCTTTGTGGGATAGCCGAATAGGTTTCAAATTTGTAATTCATACTATAGCTTTGTTTAAACAATTAAACCCTTAAAAATGTGAATAAAAGGTAGGAAAATACAAGACCAATTAAAATTTTGAAACATTTGAAATTTCATATTTACATAATTGGATCCATCATCAATCCCATTTAAGATAAATCAACCACTTATCAACTTTAACTTGTCCCGTATCCTTTGGCCCACGGGCCCCACCCGCTAGTATTCAATTGAAATCTGACTCAAATATGAATATAAATGAATCCAATTTGGGTCTACCTTGGATCCGACCCAATCCTTTGCAGTTGCAGCCCGACAAAGAGATATCCATGACAAATTCAAATTTTGTAACATCGCTTTATTTACTCGACTTCCATTTTCCCTTTATACTCTTCGTGATTGTGTGAGAGGATGACACGTGTATAACAATCGTACGCCAATTTTTGTTGTCGAGGACTTGAGGTTAAAGTGAGAAATAGAAAAAGAGAAGTGTCTTGAAGAACTTCATCGAAAGTGCGCCTCAACATTTCATCCACCAAGGGCAGCAACGCCTCAGCCAAAGCATGTTCCCTCAAGCACCCAGTCCCTGGAGGCTTACTTTGTAGGGCATATAAAAGCCAAGAAAAAATTCTCTTCAAAGCACGGTGGTCCTCCTCCAACGTCTCCGAAACTTCAACAGAATATCCGTCGCTGCAACAAGACATCATCCACATTATAAGTTGTCTACCGGGGCTTTCACACCCTTTTTACATCTAAAAACCGTACAATTATAAACCTTGAACATATAGAAAAGGCCAAACAATTATTATTATTATTATCAGGGTTTTCGAATCATCATTGACCCAAACAGTCAGACCGTTCAAACCAGGAACCATCTAGGCAACCGGTTCTGTTTTACTCAAACCCGATCCCTGGCCAAAAACCATTGAATCAGTCAACAACCCGCTGACCTGGGCAGTCGAACCATCGACCCATTCAACGGTTTTGGCCATTGTTTTATTTTTTATTTTGTCAGAACAGGACACCCGTTCGAACCGGACAGTGGAACCATCAATCCAGAAACCAGTGGCCAGAATGGTTCCATTTCATAGTTGTTTTTTAAAACCATTATTATTATTATTATTATTATTATTATTTTGGTAGAACGAAAAGGGGCTAAATCTCAGTTTCCGTACTCAATTTTTTGCAACTGAACAATACCAACTTACCCAAAGTATAAGAAAATTGTATTGCACCAGACAATTGAAAACAAAATAGAATAATTGATCTCCAAAATCCATGAAACCATAAGCGGATGATCAGCACTTGATCTAATATAGCACTTGAACCACATATAATTTTGACCTGAATGAGATGTTTCAGCTTAGCAGACCTACATAGACCAAATTGGAAGTTCATCTTACCCGAAATTTAGATTCCCGCATATCCTCCAACAGCTTCACAATCTGTTGTTGCCTCGTGCCCATATCATGTAGTACCTGAAACCCAATGCAACAATTAATTAAATGATGATCCAGGAACCAAACACATGGAAATTCAATTTCACTGATAAAAGGCTTACACTTTTTGTCTTCTCAAGGTCAAGTTGAACAGATTTGATCCGATCCGTTGATTCCAAGAGCAATTGCTCCTTATCCAGAGGAATTTCCACAGGCTTAGTGCTAAGTTTCTCATATAACATCTCAAGCCTCTGAAGACGTTGTAAACATTGAAGGACGTGGTTTTCTTCCTTTACAGCTTCTGAAGCAGGACAAATTTCTGGATTTGATCCCTCCAATCTGGAAGGTAGAACGTTAACTTGTCTTCTCCCAAGACCAAAGCGTAAAATACGGAACAAGGAAAGTAGTTTGACCATGAAAACTATCAACCCTCTAGCTATATATCGGAAACTACTATGTTCTACAGTGTTCTCCGTGCTATTTAACCTATTAATGACAGCAGTGCCTGACAAAACAACCAAAATTTAGACAAAGACCACCCGCAACATTGATGGAAAGAAACGATACCATTTGAAACTGCTGAAGAATCAGAATATGAATTAGCCACGTTCTGTATAAAAATCATCTCTACTTGTGATTACAATTGCTTTGTACCCAATAAAGGCATGCATAAAAAAGCCTTTTTCACATAAACAGAAGGACATATTGTTAAAGAATAGCAAATACCTTCTGCCCTTCGTGATGTCTTACTTGAAGGATTCTCAGAAGGTCTAAATCTTCCTCGGCCATAGTCTATAGCTTTATCAACCACAACAAAATGGTCAGCACAACTGTAATATGCAGTTCGATCAGATGTCCGACCCTGTAGTGAGCAAAAAAAAATGAACATCAGGAGCCCCAGGAAAAATTAGGGGACTACTGATAATTGACTTTGCATATCATCTACATTAACTATTTTCATGGGAATGTCATTGATCCAATGAAAAATGTAGCTCTAAATCATGGCAAGGACTAAACTGTTGGTTCATTCATGTGCATTGGTAGGTCAACCTTAAAATTGTATTATAGGGTGGAATGGATATGCTGGAAACCGAAAAACTTAGGGCAACAGAGGCAAAGGAAAACATGTTTATGTTAAAAAGATATAAAATAGTAAAAGTGTTAATGTTTTAATTATTAGAAACAGGATATAGAAAAACAAAGAAACAAAAGACCTATAAATCACTTGGTGAAAAAAAGGATGTTTTTCTTTTGAAAAATTCTCTAAGATCCTCAATTAATTATTTATTTTTCTATAAATATTTATAAATATTTCACCAGTCCCCAACCCTGGTTGGCAGCAGGATTTGATCCTAGGTCTCTGCTACATTGAGTTATTGATTCTACCAACCGAGCCACCATCGGTTGGTATATGTTTTAGTTCCTTCAAATAAACAAACTCAAAAATTCTATATAAACCATCTCTATCTCCTTAAGCAGATACAATTACTTTCATCAACAATTTGTGGTTACATGCCATACACATAAATGCCCTGGGTCCTATATCTTGCAAGATTTTTATATTTGGAGATAGCAGAACTGCTGTCAAATAGATTTCACCAGGAGACATTTGTCCGTAAGCCTAAAATATGATATGATCCCAGCTGTGTTATCAATAGATACATTTAGTTGCTAGAGAAAAGTTCAAATAGATCACTTATCAAGCTTTACAGAATTAGAAGATTAAATTTCATGAATAAATGCTTTTGTTGTATGTACTCTGTTAAATGACACCCATCCAATAGTAGGTTCGGTCCTGTTTTTCTAACTATACAATAGATGGCAAGTTATGGGGCCACATACAGCAACTGAATTTCTATAGCTCCATCTTGAGGATGCACCTTAATCCCTTTGGCTGTGTTTGGTTGCAATGTAAATCTATCTTAACAGATGCAAAACTATGGTAGTGCAAATTCTGATTTATTCTTGTTTTAAATCTTACCTTATTTCGTTTAATTGCAGTACAAATGAAGCAAAATAGGACATGAAGCAGAATACAGCAAAATCCAAAACAAAATTAAACCAAAATTTGTATTTATTTTTCACTCCCATGCATTTGTATTAGTGCAAATAAGATTACACTGCAACCAAAAGAAGCCTAAAGTTTTAGAAGGAAAGTAAAGATAAACCCAAAATTAGAGATAAGCCCAACAACAAGAAGTTACTTATTATTTCTCCTTGGTTTAAAGGGGGTGGAAGTAATAAGCAAATAATTAGACATCAAATTGTAAAGTTCAAGGAATGATATCTTCTAGCAAAAAAAAATCCAACCTTCAACGACATACATATTTTAGGGTATTTTTCCTTAAGAGACAACATGCCCTTTTTTTCTTCAACCTAAACTGACAAGGATCAATTTCAAGGAGATAACAACATTTCCACGTTTCTTCTTCTTTATGTGATATTACTAAACCAACATTTTGTTAAATAATTTAATCCTAGTAAATACCAGGGCAAATTATTATTTCACAGTTAGCCAAAACTGATACTTAACCTTCTGCCAATACATACCTACATACGTATTGATGGATAGATCATTCCCTGCATCTTAATGTACGAGGTGTCAACATACTACTATTGGTATGCCCTCAAGTATAATCAAGAGACTAATTTTCAAGGAGATAGATCATTCCCAAAAAAAATTGCAACCTTCAAGGACATACATATTTTAAGGTACTTTCCCTCAAGAGATACAACATTCTTTCTTTTTATATAACCTAAATCGAGAAGGATCATTTTCGAGATAACAACATTTTCTCATTTTCTTTTTCTTTACAAGATGTTACTAAAGCAATGTTTAATTAAACAAATTGATCCTAGTCAGCATCAGGGCAAAATATTATATTCATAATTAACTAAACACTGATAGTTAACCTTCTGCCAATACACACATACATCATACATATTGATAGATAGATTATTCCCTTCTCACATCTTAATGTACAAGGTGTCAACCAGTGTTTTAAAAGGCATGGGAGGCATGCACCTAGAGGCGTGCCTCCAGGCGAGGCGCCCCCAAAACACCCTGAGGAGGCTAGAGGTGCTGACACCTCTGAGGCGTACGCCTTAGGTGAACTTTTTTCAYGAGGCATGCTAGAGGGGTATGCCTCATGCACACCTCATGAGAAGGGAAAGAAAAGGGAAGGGAAGGGAAGGGAAAAAAAGAGAAGGAGAAAGAGAAGGGAAAGAAAAAGCCCCTGGACCCCCTTGGCTGGGGGGAAGCAATGCAACCCCCTCTTCAACTAGTGCTATGCATCTTCATTCTTCTTAATATAAAAGATTTTTATTAAAAATAAAGAAAAATTAGATCCTCCTCCCCTTCCACCTCCTCCTTCCTCTTCATCCCCCTCCTCTTAAGGAGGTTTAGGCCTCCTTGTGTTCATTCTTCTTAATATAAAAGATTTTTATTAAAAATAAAGAACAATTAGATCCTCCTCCCCTTCCTCCCCCTCCTTCCTCTTCATCCCCCTCCTCTTAAGGAGGTTTAGGCCTCCTTGTGTTCGGGAGGCTTATGCCTCTTACGTTCTGAACTACTTCATGCCTCTTACGTTCTGACCGCAATTCCAAACACCCCCTCTCCATTTTTCCTTTGTTTCTTTTTTCCTTTTCTTTCTCCATGTTTTGTATCTTTCGTGCTCTCCCCTGTAATATAGCTTCAGTATAATTTCCAATATCAGTTTTCAAGGAGGCCATCAATATAACAAAGTTGACCTTTTCCATTTGTATTTTCCTCAATACCATGAAAGACTAATTCTTAGCCATTAGGATATTAAACAATTTTGCTATTCTTGTTCCTTATCCATGTGATCTGTGACTCTACACAAATCAAAAGAACTATCATAAGACTCCAAAAGAAATAAGCCAATAGAACCATCAACATGAATGAAGGTTAAAATAAGTAATACTGTGAACATACAATTATGAACAACAAACCAAATCAGAGGTTCCATTACTCACTTCTTCATGAACAGGGGTCAATCGTGTAAACCTAGAATTCCCAAGTCCAGTGGGAGAACAAGGATCATCCATATCAGATCCTGATTCAGCTGTAGAAGTATCACTACTTCTTCCCTGATGGCAAAAATAAATAGATGAATAATGTTAAATGGCAACAAAAAATCAACACCATATAGTCCACAGCTTAATGTAAATCTCACAAATATAAACCTGCCTTTGATGGGTATAACTTAAAATCAACTTTCTGTTCCTCATCAAATATTCCTGTGGCTTGTCTCTCACGTGTTGCTTCTGCATTATGTACAAGCTATGAATGGTACAAACCATTAGTGCAACATGTCTTAGGTTGTTAATCATATTTTGAACCAAGGTAAAATCTCACCTTATTTGAATTACCCATAATTAGCATAAAATTGTGTAAACAACCTATGATGTCCTTACCTTCATTATTTTAGGGTCATTCCATGGTCCCTTATTAGATCTGAGGCACCCTCCTTCAGCAGAACATGTGCATGAACCGCCCAAGAAATCAGGCAATTGACTGATAGAAGGGAAAAAGAAATTAAAGACATGTTAAATGAACAATTAAATAACATAAACTGAATAGACATATACAGACCACGAGTCAATGACTTCCAGAAGTTTACTCATAGTCTTAGGTTCTAGCACCTGCAGATTCAGAGGTTAAATGTACACACATCACATAATGCTAAAGTAAAAGCTCAGACAACTTTTCAAGTCTTATTTTTCTTTACTTGTATCTTTGCAATAGTCTTTGGGTCAACAAATTTCTTTACAGCAAACCAAAGCATCTTGAAGCCTGGACCAGCATTAACAATGAACATCCGATGTAGTGTCTGCATAGAAGAAAGTTGGATAATTGCTAAAAGCCCAAAGAATGTCTACCAAAAATGGATTTATTTTAAACTGAGTTTTGATAAAAAAGTATGTATGTTTCCACAAGTCAAGTACCTCAGGGTAGTAATTCCCATCTATTCTGGCCATCCCAGCTAGGAGGTCTGCTGCGGTCTTGGTGAAATTCTTAATACCCTGCCTCTCAAAATACAACAACCATAGGTTAAAGTGATAAAGTCTGGCATAGAGGTTAACCAAATTGCAGAAATACAWATTAAGCAAATATCATTTGATGCAAATAACTTGGAAAGTTGATATTCTCTTAGAAGTGTAGGAAGATTTTGTATTTGCATCTTAGGAGATGCAGCAGTTACATATATAAACAACCTTCAACATGCAATAAACCGGCTATAAATAGAGCTCACAGCATACCAAGCCTTGCACATCCAAAATTGTTGTTGTTGAACCAATATGTTTTTGTGCTGCAATTGAACATGCAGGTAGCTTTTCACGCAAAGCCTTCTCAAACTCTTGTACATGGTACTTCAAATAGCGATCAATTGTGGTTGTGTGTGCTAGCTTATTTGGGTGAGCTTTCCCAAGTCTCTCAATATAGATGGGCCTCCCTTCTTTATCAACTCCATGGTAACCTTGAGGGTAATGTTGCAAAACTTTATCAAGCTCTTCAAAGTTGAAGTCCTTCAATTAGTTCAATATGGCATTATATCAGATGAAATATGCCAATTCAGATGCGGTGCTACCAAAATAACTACAGATCTTCTAAAGCATGATATTGGAACATGATACAATTCATACATAGGATGCATGATACTCAAGTGCAAGAATAAACCAGTCCCATCACACTAGGATTCCAACAATTCCATTTAGCTCCAAAAACACATTCTTGTGTGATGAATATGGGATAATTATTCCTCACAGCTACAACACAGCACCATACAATTGTAAAGGACTTATAAAGCCCTTTTTTTTTAAATGATTGGTCCATTAACTCCTAAGTGGTTCAACATCAAAGGAGAAGACTTTGAATGGTGAGTGAAAAAGAGTAAGTGCTTAAGATGATGTCCAGACCTCCAATATGGTTTCTGTTCCATATTCTCTTCTCCATTGAAGCATTTCTTCCCACATTTGGATTGTCCTCTCAATGTTAAATTCCCTTGCTTTCAAGAATCTGTAGCAGCAGTAAGGTAACATATGATTGGAAAGTAAAAAGGCTAAGAAAGGAGATGAAATTAAATATCTACAAGCGACTTCATATGCCACAAGCCTACACATTCACAAACACCACACTATGATTAAAAAAATGTCGATGCAGACCTGCTGTATCTCTGACTTTCATTTATAAAGGCATTTGAACCAGGTATTAAATTGTGGATCAATAATCAAACTAGCCAACTGGTTCAAGAAACTATTATATCCACTTTGAAAGAATATACAAACCTTAACAAAGTGTGATAGTCATCATGCCTAGGTGGTAACAAGTCCTTGGATAGGAGTTTTTGACGCAACTCATGGACTGCAGTCTCCTCTCTTGCATCTCGTATATCCTCTATTGAAACAGAAGAAACTCTGTAATCAGATTTTCTCTTTCCTCGTTTTTTAAGAGAATGGGTGAACTTGCTAGAAGCATTTATGGCTTTCTTCTTGAGAGACCCTATTTTTGTGCGGCGCCTCTCATCTTCAGAGTTCTCTACATCGCATCTCCCTTGTTTTATTTCATCATAGGAGTCATGTCCTTCCAGGCCTTCAATATTATGAATCAAAAGGGCAGTGGTTAGACATTTTTTTACGGCAGTACTGTCCGTGCATTATCACTAGCTCGTCAGTACAAAAAATTTCCAAGCAGTCGTTGGAATTTATAATGGTTCTATTTATCAGTGTTTTCATATGGAGATGCGAAAAAAAAAAAGAAAGAAAGACTTACCTGACATTTCCGTTCAATAGAAAAAAAAAGAAGATGAAATTCAGCCTCAAGCTCTAAAGAAGAAACCAAATTTTACAGCAATCCCATGGAAACCCAAATTGCTTCTACAGCAATAACAACAATAAAAGAGACAAGATAAATCTTCAATTGTAGCTCGTGAAATGCAAATAAAGTAGCTGCACATGAAAAATTAGAGAAACGGGATAAAAAGGAAAGAAAAATAAATGAAAACGGATGACCCATCCTTAGATTTGTCCACACCCCTCTAGATAATATTGAAATTCCAATAGAAAAATCATAGAATTGAGAAGTACGTTCTTAGAAACAAATGGTACCTTGAAAAATAAAATGAAAAACGAAAGTGACAATCAACGTTTCTAAATTTGTGAATGTCATAAGACAGCCAAGCTTTTTCTTTTTGTTTTTAAATTTCGGAAGTTACACAAATCAGACCTTATGCAATTTAACAATTTGTTCAACGGAACCAAGAAAAAACGGGAAAAACTTTACGCAGAGCTACCATATAGGACATAGACGACGTATGGACAAAAGAATCAACAGAAAAACGAATCCTTCTGAAACAATCCAAGTTAAAAACGGAAAGAAAAAAAAAATAATGAGAATAAAAAGGCAAAATCTACCAAAGCATCCAAATCATGAAAGCCAAACCGTTGAAAACTTTTACATATTCAACCACTACTCAAATTCATTGAACAATAAATGTCGAGAAACCGGAGACTGACCAAATGTGAAAAGTGCCGGCAAAGGACCGTCCGAAACGCCTACTAAAGATGAAGAAAGAAAAGCAGGAACTCAGAAACGGAAGCTCTTCGTGTACATGATGCATACAATACAACTAAATATGAAGCCAGTATAAAAAACGAGAATCCAAACGTACCCTTGGGCAGAGATAGTGGGAGAAGAAGGAGATGATCTGGTTTTCCTTGCATACGCATTCTCTCCTTCTCTCCAAGAAATGAGAATGAGAAAACGAAATAAAAAGAAGCCGGAAGGTTCCTGTTCCTCTCTCTCTTCCCTTGGCTTTCGCAACCTCTCCGCTGCCTAACTTTAAACATCGTATACGTGTCCTTAAAAAATCATTTATTTTACGTTAGAATAAAAATAATAAATATTCTTCGCGATTGAACTGTTTGTTTTTTTTGGCAAACGGACGACATCGAACCGGAAATTAACATCAGCTAAACTGATTGGTTCGATTTTGATTTGATATTTTTTGAAAAATTCTGATTATTATCAATAGACCTGGCAATCGGGTTGGGTGGATCGGGTTCGGGTTGGGTTTATGTAATTCGGGTTGATTCGGGTTGGTTTGGGTTGTCAAATACTGGACCCTAATCCTAAATGTTCGGGTTAGGGTTGACCCATGGGTCAATTCGGGTCATCCCAAAAAATAATTGAAATTTAAGAAAATAAAAAAATTACATGAAAAATGTCAAAATTAAAAGAATTAACCTTAAAATTCTAAATATAAAATAAAAACTTGAACATTTAAGAATTTAACGAGTAAAAAACAAAAAATAAAGACTAAATAATAAAAATTAAATAGTAGAAACTTCTAACAATGCATAAAWAATCCCAATTAGACTTGACAATTGGGTCAGTGGGTTGACCCATGACCCAACCCAACCCAACCCAGTTTTTTTCGGGTTGGGTCGGGTCGGGTCATTTTCACATTTGGGGTTACTAAATATGAGACCCTAACCCTATTTTTTCGGGTTGGGTTGGATTGGGTCAACTTTTTGCCAAGTCTAATTATCATTACTTTTTGCCTAGTGCCGCTTAGTTTTCCGAAATTTAAAATGTGAATTTAAGTATTTAATTTTCAAAATGTGTGAATTTGTTATTTGTAGTTAATTAATCGTTATCTGGCCGTTACATAGCATTTGAAAATATACAAATGTCTTTCGAGTATTATCTAATTTTTTATCGACTATCTAAACATTGATAAAAAAATGAATAATATTAAAATCCTTGTCTTTCTATTCAAGAAAATTAGGGTCATATCTTTTTTTTTTTTTTTGCAAGAAATTAGGGTCATATCTTGGTGGATATTATGGTGACTCCAACTTTCTTGAATAGAATAAGCAAGGATTTGGGATTATTCATTTTTTGTCAACATTTGGATAGTTGATAAGGAAAATTAGATGACAATCAAAAKATATTTATGTCTTTTTAAATGCCACTTAACAACTAGTTAACGATGGGTACTGGATAAGCACATTTTGAAAATCCGGGTATTGAATTATTGCATTTTAAAGTTTAGGGACCAAAATGGCATTAAGCCCAAAGTATAAGATATTAGTCGGGAATTTTTCCATATATATATATATTATATTTATGTATATGATATATATTTTTCATATATTTTATATTATATATATAGGGAAGTTGTCTAAAACTCACCATGAGTTTTCAACATTTCTCTTAAACTCACAACTTTTCAAAATGTTTAAAACTCACAATATCAATAAGTTTTTATTTTCCAAAACTCACATTCCCTTAGTGCACCATCAACGCTTCTTAACAGAAGTGTCCAAGTCAACATAAATAATAACTTTCATAACCAAATTACCCTTGAAAATTGAATGGTGAGTTAGAGAAAAAATGGTCTTTTTCAGTTTTCAATTTTCTTGTTTTTTTTTCATTTTTAATGTTTTTTATAATCTCTATTTTTTATATTTTTCTATTTTCTACRATCTATAAATTTTTTGATATTTTTTCTACAATTTTTATTTAATAGTTAATTGAACCAAATAACCGATTAATCGATCGGCTTCAATTCAATTTCCGTTATCCGTTTTTTCAATTGAGCTGTTCTAAATATTAATTAAAAATAAACGAGAAAACAAACTGATGTACAGATGTCGTACGGCAATTTTTGAGATGACTTACCTACTTGGCCTTTCGTTCAGACTTTGGATATGGAAAACAAACTGATGTACAGATGTCGTACGGCAATTTTATTTTTTTTGTTTTATATTCTATTTTTGGATAAATTTTTTCTCGTTGGTTATTTTCTGTCTAGGCTTTGTCTCGTTGGTTGATGATAGAATTACGGTTAAGGAACCAAATTTAGCTCACTTTTCGATATACTAAATTCACATCCTCTAGAAAATTTTCTGTATTAGAACAATAGCCCTGGCACGTCAGCTTTTCCTTCTCTATTTTATTTCTACTGTTGTTTTAGGGTGAACAAGAAAAATTGAGAAATCGAAAAACCGAATCGAATTGATGAGATACGAACCGAATTCCGGTTATCAGAATTGATTGTTTCAGCTTCAGTTCATTAATTGAACCGATTATATATAATAATAATAATAATAATAATAAATGAACATATGTATTATATATACAAATATATATTTATAATATATAATATATTATTTATTATTTATAATATAATATTTTATATGTATTTCTAATTTTTTATTATATATTTTATAAAAGTAAAAAACTGAAAAACTGATGGATTGAACTGGTGGTTAACCGAATCCATTAATTTCAATTCAGTTTCAGTTATCAGTTTTCCAAAAGTTGGTACTATCGGTTTGGTTTGAAATTTAGGCCCACGGTTTGGTGTGAGCACCCCTATTATTGTTTGGGGAGCAGTTTGGGCGTGCCCAACTCAAGCCCAGATAAATTCAGCCCACAATTTTGTATGGTTTGGACTTGGATTTTCGGTCTTTGAGTTGGGCCTAGCCCAAAAGTTTGAGATTTTTTTACTCAGATTTAGTCCTTAGGTAGCCCAAATTCGACCTGATTATATACATATATAGACACATATACATACATGCATGTATATATATAAAGATTTTAAAATTTTCTTTATTAAAAAATTGAAGTGGAATCGAATTAAATCTAAATCCAATCAAAATCTTCTTTATTTAAAAAATATAACTCTATTTTGATTTAAATTCATGATGRACAAATAGACTAGGAAATGACATTAAATTTCACTTCTCATTAAAGGACATGAACTAACTTCAGAAATTAAGTTTTTGCCTATTGGGTTGTCCCTATCCTCTCGTTTTGAACATGTTGAATTTTTCAAGTTATGAATTGTATTTGTAAGATTATTTTTCTTGATCCATTGAAGTTGACATAATTTTTGAACTTCAAGTGGTTGTCACATTGGATTTAATTATTGGTTCAGTTTAACATACTATCTACTTTACAATAAACAATGAAAATTATCATAAAGTTAACAGTAATTATTTAAACTTAAGCGTAAAGATTTGTGGTTAATTTACTCTTATTTAACAGTGATTTTCTGAATTACTTATGTAATTAATTCCCATTTCTATGTTATTGAAAATTATCAGAAAATTATTATTATTTTTTCATTTTTCTTTATTTATAACTAATTATTGAAGATTAATGGAAAACATCAATAATTTACTGTCATTTTCCTTTAATTATCTAAAAGTAAATTATTAGAAATTATTGAAAATTATAAGATATTATTATCAGTATATTATTGGTATTACAGTAATTAATTATTGCTAACAATTTTTCTTTGTTCATTACGATTAATTAAATTATTGCTTTCACTATTCATAAATTAGCAATAATAAAATAAAAATAATTATTGTTTTTTTCTTTGAATTATCGAACATTGAGTTCATATTAGTAATTATTATGAATTCCCAAAAATTAGTAATTATAGGAATTAATAAAATTCCTCAAAAAATATAAGACTTAAACAAAGTTAAAGCAAAAGAAGTTTATTTATTGGACACTATTAATAAATTATTTATTGTTTTCATTATTAATAAATTAGCAATAATGMAACAGCAACAATTATTGCTTTTTTCTTTGACTTATTTAACATATAGTTCATATTAGTAATTATTATGAATTTCCAAAATTAGTAATTATAGGACTTAATAAAATTCCTCAAAAAAATATAATACATAATAAAGGGAATAGAAATAAGTAGTAAGTCAACTTATGTTTTTGCCCTCATAATAAAAAGAGATCAAATGTAATGCCATTTTCTTTGAATTATTTACCGGTAAATTATCAGTTATTAATGAAATTACCAAAAAAATCAGTAAATTTTTGCTATTATCAGTAATTACCAGAGACATTAAATAATTTGTTTTTATTTTCATTGAATTATGTATTGGTAAATTAWCACTAATTGTTGATTATTGTCAAAAAAATCATCAATAAATTGTTAATATTTATCAGTAATTATCAGAAATTAAGTGTAGCTATTCAAAATTACAAAAAATTACCACTAGCTTTCAATTTACCGGGAAAATAACAAATTACTAGAAATTACCAATAATTTTCAATTTATCAGGAAAATTTAAAAGTTACTAGAGATTACCAGAAATTGTCAGAAATTAGCAAAAATTATCAGTAATTACCATAAATTATTTGTCATTGTTAGTAGTTGTTAATTTATTTTTGTTTTCCTTGAATTATTTATTGGTATGTTATCAATAATTATTGAAAATTACCAAAAATTATCAATAATTTGTTAATAATACCAGTAATTACCAGAAATTAAGTGTAGCTATTCAAAATTACCAAATTTTAATTTAGTGGGAATATAACAAAATAATTTTCAATATACTAGAAATTTCCAACAGTTATTAGAACATTTTTCCATTCAAATTTTGCTCCAAAATCTTCGTTCCTGTTTTTACAATTTTTTATTTTTATAATTCCAAGTAATTAAAACATTATAGTCTCACATTTTCCCACCCCAAGAACCTCAAAGTCGTGAGAAGTGATGAAGTTCTTTATTGGTACAAACTTGTTGGACTCTTTCCCTTGTAAATGAATCAAATTTCGAAGTAGAGCACTTGGAGACCCACACCAACTTGATCATGGAGATTGAGAGACTTGGAGCTTGGCTGGAGATTCGAAGAACAATGGGGAGCACTCGGAACAACAGCTTGATATGGTCGTGAA